TGAGCAGGAGGTCTGATACCTCAGTAGTGATACACTGAGTGGGGCAAAGAGTTTCTTGCTTCTGGCTTCTGCCACATAAATTAAAAATTAAAAAAAAAAAAAAAAAAAAGAGACCAAACCAAATTACCTGCATCAGAGGACTGAGCATATCTTGAGTCTCTCTGCTGCTGATTTCTTTGCATGTTTCCTGTCGTTGACACTTAATGCAGAGCCTGGCTCAGGTCTGGTGCATGTGTGAGCAAAGGCAATAATCTTTGTTTTCTCCTTTTTACTAGGACTAGGTAATTAACACTTTAATGATCAATTTTACCATTTTCATCTTATCCATTCACATATATCATCAGTATATAGCATTACTACGTTTTTGTATGTTTGTGTCCCAGAAACTATCCCCTCCACACAAAGTAATTCCTTCAGTTTACCTATCAAGTCCAAAGGTCTTTTTCATGTAGAAAATATTCATGCCCATTGTAAGTTACCTTCCATTTACTTTGCAACAGCACTATGGAACTCTACTGACTATCCTCTCACTTTAAATTAACCTAATGAAAGTTTCTTGTCAGCATCTTACAAACACATAAATCTTCACAGACGGAAGAGAACACTTATCACAGTCCAATCCAATGGACTGTTCATCCAAACATCTCCAAATCTTTTCGTTTCAAGTTTACAGGTGTCATTTGTGACAGTCAATTTCTACATTTCATGAGAAAATTAATTTCTCCTACATTTTTGTACATGCATTTTCACTTGTTCCAGTTACCATATATATTGCCAACAATAAATTGAATGCACAGAGGCCCAAGCAGAGCAGAGAAACAACTGTTCCCCTCTCATCATGGCACTGCACGCCACCATAACCAGGAAGATGTGGTCACACCACACCACCCAACAAGAGGTCTATGAGCACATGGGGGTAACTAACAAATACGCTGCTGAGTTTCTGAGGGTGTCTTCCCACCTAGCTGTGTATTTGCAGACAGCGGAGCTATGATCAGGATGAGCAGCAGTAGAATCACCATGTTTAAAACATCTCTTCGTTTGTTCACTGCAGAGATATAACTAGTAAAAATAAACTACACAATGTCTTCTACTCCATGCCAATTAAACCAACACAAAGACTACAAAACTAATCTACAACAATCATATTTACCATTTCACTCCTCTCTAAGGAACAGCTGATGTAACTCAGGATAAAGCCATTTTATCACAGCACAGATTTTTATTAGCTGCTTCCCACCAGATGGGCACTGCAGCCCTCTCATACAATGGAATCAGTAACAGAGAACCTTTACTGGAAGCTCAGAAACATGTTTACCTTATATACAAGAAAAACTTATTTACAACAATCAACAGCAAACTATGTACAAAAAAAAAAAAATACAAGAGACATTTCCATGGTAATCACTGTATAAATTAACACAATAAATAAGAGGGAAGCAGCTCCCACTCTTAAGGCACAAAACCTTCTTCCCAAGACTGTACAGGGATTCACTTGCTTCCCTATGCTTTTGACAGGATCACAGGAATGGTGGGGAGACCATTGGTTGGTGGACGATGATATAGACATGCAGTCACTGCTGACAGTTGTAGAAAAACATAATTTTTCATCCTTTTTTTTCTTTTTACAGTACACACATCTTAAGATACAAAATATTTTGTGTAAACAGTCTTTTTTAAAATCACATAGATAGTATGAACATTTTAAAATAATACTAAAACAATTAACAAAGCTTTCCATATGATTTGGGCACAGAAACATTCCCAGGACTGGCACTGAAGGCCTCGGCAGAGCCGGTGGCTCTTGAGCACCCAGCTCTCATGTGGCCCAGCCAGGCTGGCACCTCCGGCCACCAAGCAGCACAGCTTCCCTCTGCTGCAAAGAGCTGACTCCTGCCGCAGCGGGGGACACATGCTCTCAGCACTAAGGTCCCACAAGCCAGACCAGAAAGACTGTATGAGCGCTAGCAGCCCTCCTGAAGGTAGCCCAGAGCAGGACACCGCTGACAGTGGTCCAACCCTGCCTGAAGTCTCCACTGCACGCACTCCCACGGAACTGAAACATCCTAACACAGGGTACGTTATCCCCCAGAACCTGCCATTAAAGTTAAACATCTAGGGCAGTGCCAGAATGTGAGATAATGTACTGAAACCTCTTCCTAGCAGAAGAAACTGTATGTCCTGCTCACCACAGACGCTGCCCCAGCATCACTGCCCAGGGGGAGGGATGATAAACAGAAGGTGCTGCATGGCTTTCACGTGAGTAGCAATTTTTAAGAGACTAAGCGTCTGTGCAATATGTGCAGTTCTAGCTTCTCTCAAGCTGGTGTTCTACCTGAGACTGCAGGAGAGTCTCTTTTTTGGCAAAGCAGCAATTTTTTTTACTAAATTGTCTTTCCTGAGTTTCTCTCCCACAAACACTATCAGATACCAGAAGAGGAACTCAGAATAATGTAGACAGAAGTTCAGCCTGGCTCCCTACTTTGCAGATAGCTCTCACTGATGTTTGACACAAATTGGCCTTGTCTATTCACAAAATCTCTGCAACAGAAATCTGCACTATTCCCAGTGAGACATACAGAGCTATGACCCTTTTCTTAGATATAAACCTTAATACATATTCAAAGGCACTCAGGTTAAATGTGGATCCCATTTTCTAGCTCTTAAAAGAAGGTAGAACTCCCTTCCCGCCTCCAGTAAGCAACAGACACGAATATACTGGCTATGAACCCTCTGATAAAAGGTGCACATACACAAAAAGGATCTGAACCCATCAACACAACAGATTACAAAATGAAAAGAAACAAAGATTGGTCTGTGCAGGCATCACTGCTCACAGCAGATGTTCCACGGCCATCAGGCGTCTACAGGTATGGGACAAATTAAGGAACATGCCTGAACGTAGGAACTCTTTGGATTCCCCTGTTACTCTGAGAAGGAAGAGTAGAGAGGAGCTGTTTCTGTTGAGGCAAGAATTTAACCCCCCAGGAATTATGCAAGCAAGGCATGTGCATACTGTTTATGCAGCTTTGACCATGAGGTGACCTGGAGAAACTTAACAGCAAGAACAGCTCCTTCAGCATGTATAGGAACAAACACAGATCTCACCTCTTCTCCAGAATTATCACCTGCCTTGTGCTCCCTGCTGCACCCTCCCAAGGCACACGGATGTCCTAACCATGCACACTCCTGGGGACAGGTGGTGGGCCGCACCTCACTGTCACCAGCAAGGGTGGCTGCAACCTGGAGCTCTCCTTAGTGGAGGTTCCTCCTGATTCTTGTGTAGATGCTGTTCTGTGCCTCAACAAGCAAGTGGAAAAATATACTATGTCTGTAATTCTTACTCATCTGATACGTCAGGAATTCAATACAGTGAGGGGAGGCTGTACTGATAAAGAAAAATTATGGCTATGGAAGCAATTGCTAATGTACAGATAGGAGAAACAAATTCAGGCCAAAGATGAAAATATTTCTTGCTCAGTCCCCACAGTATTTATACCAGAAATTTTGCTATCTGGATCAAGCATGCTTAAGTCTTCTGTTAACTTCTCATGAGCAAACCCTGCCACTCGCTAGGCTGGGAGGAGACGCATGGGTGAATGACAACTACTTATAAACAGACAGGGAGAGTCAGATGGTAAAATCTTAAAAGAATGCAATGGAGTTTGCTCAGCATGAAATCAGCCACTAACCTTTTCAAGCTGACAAGTCTTAAAAGAAAATAACTTGATTGATTGTTGTTAGACTAGAGAAATTATGTAAACTTCATAAAATCCTTACAAATAACAAAGAAGAATGATGTCCTCAGGAAATTATTTTTTATGCCACTGTGTATGTGGCCATTTTTCTGACTGCAGCCATAGCCAGATAGGTCCCACTCTGTAATAATAAAAAAAATAAATACATACAAACCAACAAAGTAACTAAAAGTTCCTGCTATCTCTCCAGCTTTATAGGACTGAATGTTCCCAAATTTCCTTCGCAGTGATAAACATGGCAATGTAACTTTGCATGTTGGTCTTCAGGCTTTAACAGTCACACGATTGGGGTCACGCAATACAGTGGAAATCTGAAGGCCATCTAGGAACTCTGATTCAGAGGCACTAATTTTTCCACGTTCCACTGCTGGTGGTACCAAAGGCAATTGACCAGCATACTTCAGTTTTCATTAGGATGCTCACCTGCTCAGTAACAATCCTCCTCCTCTCAGCACTCTTACAGGAACCCTGATGTTTGACAGCACACGATATCTGTCTCAGGGGTAAAACCCAGGAGGACTGAGCCACCCTGATCTTTTGGTATCTACCTTGGAGTAAAGGAGCAAGGCAGCAAGAGAGAGGAGCAAGGTGGAAGAGCCACTAGAATCAAGACAGGTGAAATGATACAAGTAATACAGATAAATCATATCTTTTGCGACAGAAGTAGTTTTCTGCGCTGCAAGTTGAAGTAAAGAAACAGCTCTGTTGTCTGTGGCCATGAAGGTAGCACTAAATGGAGAGGAAGCCGCTCCCGGCCGTTGCCAGTCATGCTGCTCCTGCCACCAAGACAGAGTAAATTGTTCTGTAACTCACTCCATTACATTACACTCCTCACACAGCCCAAACAGCTCGTTAGTGTCCCTCTCCCTTCCATCTGGTCTCCTAAAGATGAATTCAGAAGGGGGAATGTCAGAGCTGACCGCCTGTCATCTTTTGTCTCTCCAGAATTTTGTCTTTTCTTACTGCCAGGAATTTCTGAACAGGTTTTCAGGCATCACAAACAACTAACGGTTGTACCTTTGCCACTGGCTGGAAGAGGAGAGTCAGGCCCAGAGGAAGACCCCACAAGCTGGTGTGAACCACTGTTAGAAACACATGCATTGTTTGTTGCAAGGCATAAGTAAGTGGGAATCACTGGGTATTCGTTGGCAAGAGTTCTGTACTGGCTTTGAACTTCTGATGCAAACCGCATGCAACTACAGACGCATTAAAAAAGGATTAGTAAGACACAAGGACAAGCTTTGTCCCACTTCAATGTTCTAAGATAGAGGTGTGACACAGGTAAGTGGGAAAGTTTTGAGTCTGAAAAGACTGTCAAATGCTCCTGAACTAAGACTGGCCAATATATCTTTTGCCCTGAATAATTCTACTGTCACAAAGTTCTCCAGTAAAGGTAGCTGTGTTGCAGTTCTCAGGAGTCCTGCACTGTCACTGGAACCAGTACTTCCCATGTCAGAGGACATGGTTCTTCAAACAGCAAGTGAGTTCTCTTCCAGGAGGCTCTGCATGACCGCAGATAAGGTGCCTCTCGACAGGATGCAGCCGTACCCCACAGGAAAAAAGGTAGCACCATGCTTGGTTGGATATGAGCTCTGAACAGATACAGTTTGGCTGCTCAGTAGACACAGTTGTGAGCACATCTGCTCCGTGAGGTGACTGCTGTGCAATTAGGGGGAATGGTAGACACAGGCTGTGAAAACAGAGGCTAAACCTCGCCGGCAGGAGTACTCCGGCTCAGATCCTTGATCCCATGCAGTATCCTCTTCATGTGACCCACTTTGGTCACACCCAGGTCCTGGAAGAAAAGAGAAAACCTTACCTTAGGAGAAAGGCAGGGGGGAAATTCCGGGTGGCCAAGCAATGGTTACAAACTAGTCATCCAGTTAAAAAGAGAGGAGGAAACCAACCAGAAAGATTACAAACCTGATGGTTATGTATGGAACCTCAAACCATGTGTCAAAAAGCCAACAGCGCATGAGAGGGTAATGAATAGTCATAGAGCAGGCACAAAGCAACGGAGAGAAACAACTACAGACCATAAGCCAGAAATGCAAATTGCTTTGACTGTCAAAGGCCAAAGCAAGGGAACAGAAAGAGCGTACAGATCTCAGGGACCTAAGCTAGTAGCCAAAACATGCAGGAAGAACCAACCCATCACTGGTCACATCAACTAAATGTGTGAACACTTGGGTACCATGCAACAAAACACAGGCTGTAGCTGGATGGCATGCAGAGGAATCAGCCACACAGATTACAGCAAACCTCAGAACAGGAAGATGGTCAAAATCACAAATGAGGATCCAAGGGGCACTGAACAATTGCCGTACACTATTCTACAACAAAGTGTTTTTCTGCTATATGCAAGTCACCAGTACAATGACACGAGTCTCTTGCACATGCAAAGAACCACCACTTCAGATTTTTCTCTGTAGAGAAAGCATCTCCTGGTGAGGAGACAAAAAGTTGTGCAACGTGGTTACTAAGCACTATTTTAAAAGATTCTCTCCATTTAGCAGCCTCATCAAAGACCACGATGCCTTTTTTTCTTGTAACAGAGAAGTGTGATGATCTATTTGTCCAGTGACTACAACATAAGACCCAAATCTTCCCAATCACCGCATATTCTGCAAAGATGGAACAGGAGCTGAAAAGTTGAAAACTTCCATTCCATCATTAAAATCAGAGACTCTCAAGAACACAATCTACAGTCTGTGTGTGGGTCTGTAACACATCTCCAGGAACCTGTTGCAGAATCAGACAGGTGGTCTCTTTACTAGCTGCCTTACCTCCCTGCTACTAAAAATCAGGTGACCTGAAATGGTGAGAAAATAAAACGAGGCCACAATTAACCCATTCATCTTGCCAAGGCATGTGGAATGAACAGTGGGCAGACCATTTCCAAGCACATTCAGCACAGAACGTCATGCAGATGCAGCTGGCTATTTCTGAGGAGCCGATCATGAAAGTACCTTGAGGTCCCTCCGTTCGAGGTGCAGGAGCTCAGAGCCCCGGACGTCATGCCGGATGAAGATATCCTTATACTCACAAAGACTGAGATGCTCAAGCCAGGCCGCAACCTCCTCCGTTCCCCAGAGGTGAACTGTTAGAGATGGAAAAGCAGGAGTGCATTGAGTACCCAGAATCCCAGAAGACAGGGAGAGATGAGGACACTGTCAGCACTCAGTGCCAGAGAAGTAGGGCAAGCAGTACCACAGCCTCAAACCAAGGGGAGGGAGAGAATTCATAGCACGACCTACAGTCTCAAACAAAGGAGGTCGGACAGCAAAAGGTAAGAGGTATTCTCTTAGGCAGAGGCTAGCTGCAGTAAAGCCAGCAGGAAGTGCCTGTTTGTTTTGATGGGATTGGATATGCTTTTTAAAGTTTACTCCCATGTTTAAGATGAGTAAGTTCATGGATATTCCTCTGCATACAAAACAACAGATTCATAAAATATATCATGAAGAATCAAGCACAGATTAGTTATGTACAAGCATTTGTGCTCAGTGAACAAAAAGGCAACTTCTCTCCCCCAAGTCTGAGGGAGAGTTTAGACTTCCACCTTCTTGCACAGCCTCTAAATAAGAGAATAATAGTTCCCAAGTCCTGTGAGGCAATGAATAAGCACCAGCCTGTCAGACAGAAGGAGACTGGACCCACCACTCCATGGCAGAGGACAGGACCCAGAAGCCCACAGAACAGGTAGTACTTCTGAATTTTAGAAGAAAGTCTTCATAAGGAAAGTACAAACCAAAAATCAACTAACCCAACTGGAAAGAAAGTGTCTCGAATGGCAATTTGTTGATTCATGGCCAGTTTTTATCTACTGACCAGTAGGATTAAAGGTCAGGGTGCACCTCTGCTGATGCTGATCCCCAGCCAATTAGACATGAAACTTGATTAAAGCCTGGGGGTGAATCAATGAGAAAAAAATCATTAACCATATCACAGAGAATTAGCAGTAAAAAGGCTGGAGTTATGCGGACTTGGGCTCCACAGTCGTTTTGATAACTAAAATGCCAAAATCCTCAAATTCACTTCACTAAGCACCCCCTACGATATCCCTGAAAATATCCGTATGTAGGCAGAATTCTTCAGAGGGTACCTCCTGTTTCTGCTCAGGAATATTTGTGTGGTACTGGGGGATCATGACGTAGACAGAACGGAGCAACATGCTGCTTTGCCACATGAAGAACACAAGACTAGACCTCAAAGAAAAGGCAGATGCATGTGAAACAGAAGAAGGAGAGAACATGAGAGGAAACAGACAGAGAACAGGTAGTGGTGTGACCACACTGTTGTGACAAAGAGGCACAGTGAATGAGCAGACTTGGTACCCGGCAATCCCATGCTACTATGAGTCTCCTTATTTTTGTTGTTCTTCTCCTTTTTAAACTTGGTCACCAGCCGGAATTTGCCACTGCGGCTGCGTTTAGAATAATCCAGCATCTGGTTCTGTAAGAACAAAAAGGGAAAATCAGGCAATCAGTCATAAATTGACTGGAACGGACCAAGAGCAGCAAGTACTGTCAAGCTCAGCTGCATGACTCTCCAAGAGAGGAAAAAAAAAAATCCCAAACACGTTCTGATCAAGACAGGAAAGGAAAAGGAGAAAATTGATCCTATGTCAGGCAAGGGACCTTAGCAGGACATTACTTTCTTTAGCCGTAGGGAGTCAAGTTTCCTTCTTAAATGATTTTTTTCTCACATCAGCTGTATATTCACAGGAAGTCACAGACTTGTAGGCAACTAGTGAAAAAGAGAACAGCTAGGGAAATACAGCCTTGGTCCTCCTCACCTCCTCATCGCAGGGCTCCATCAGCTGCCACAGCCAAGGGATGTCTGCTAGTTTCCTCAGCTGGAGGTCCATGTCTGCAAGGGCTGCTTGGAGCTGCTCCTTCTGTGGGGGATCTAATTGCTGGATCAGAAATAGAAGCAAGACAGGGTTAAAAGCCATATGGTGGAACACAAAGTCAGGCCCTTGCCTTGAAATTCCTAGCTAACAAAGCAATTCTTCTTTTAAACAGAAGTGCATAGCAGGCACTTCACCAAGCTAATGATTTTCATCTTCTCTGAGCTCCAAACTCCACGCAAGCTAGCTTGACTGCTCATCATGCCTATGTAGCAACACCACCCTCATTCCTGGATGATAACATTTACATTGACTTGATACAAAGACAAAGACCAGCAAATGTCGCTTGCCAAGGCAACAGTAGGAGAGAAGAGAAGGTGAGAGGCTGCTTTGTGCTTCTTACCAGCGCCATCTTGCCCGCCAGCAGCAGCTCTGTCTCATTATGCAGGGCTTTGACATTATTCACCATCTCTACAACAAGGCTGCAGTTCAGACCCTGCAGGGAAGCAATTCATGCGCAAATTAAGCTTGGAAGTGCAGAGGTCTGAGCTGTCAAAAGGAAGAAGTCTTAGACAAGCAAGGCCTACTTTTAGTCAATCAGAAAGGAAAACCAAGAGCTATGGAACAAGGACAAAATGGGAAATGCCAAGTGAATGAAGTACCTCTGTAGACTTGGATCTAGCGTAGACTTTGTCCATAGACTTGGAGCTGGCATTGACAGCATGGGCAAGCTCCTGTTCCATGTCCTGATAGGATTGGGCTATTTCCCGAATGCTAAAGAGAGAATTACAGATTGCATCAGCATATGCTCAAAGCAAGCGATCTTTTCTGACTGAGTATCTCTTTTTAATACCCATCTGAGTGACAAGAGCAGGGATAAAGCATGGGCAATTCTCCCTGCTATAGTAAGCATGCATAGGCAAAGCAAGGCAGATTTCACATGCACAACTCCAGGTGCATATTCAGTTCTACACACAAGCTGGGATCAGTTTGAAATACGACCTAGATGTTTTAGTATGGCCATAGCGATGTGAAAGGCAGCTGCACATACAGCAGTTTAATTAACACTTCTCTGATGTGACTCTCAGAATTTTCCCTGAGGGGCCCAGACCAAGGAGTTGAATGTCCAAGTAAAGGATGAGTACGTGAGCATGCAGTGACTTCTTCCAGAAATCTCTGCTGAGCATGAGGGTTATAAGAACCCAACCTGTCATCTGAGCTCCTAGAGAGGCCTTTGTTTCACTTCTGATAAAAGTCATTGATATTCAAAGATAATGTGTTCTTTCAGGATTGAAGGATCCATGCTTGCTCATGAAAGTAACATTTTTTGTTCAGAATGACCTAAGAAAGTTTATTCAACTTTAGTCCTCATGCAGCTGGGACAGTGCATAATGAACAATGCTACCCTCAGTGACATGGACCAGCACTGCAGAAGATAAGAGTGAACAGAAACACCTCCAGAACAGGAAGTGGGACAAGAACTTCAGGCACCAAAGGAGGGCTCTACTCATCAAAAGCAAATTGAGTCCCACCTGTGGATCAGAGCACCTGCAGCTTGGCCAAACTGGTTGATCTGGGTGGATTCTTCTTCGGACATGATCTCTGGTTGCAGAGAGAAAGAGGAGGGCCGGGACAACTCACACTTCTGTTTGTCCTCCCAGGACTTCAGGGTGCTCTCAAATGCCTAAAAACACAGCAAGAATACTGTAAGGTACCTTGTAAAGCTCCTATAAAAAACAATGACTATGTCTATGCCCATATAACATGTAGATCTGGTATAGACACTTTTCTTCATAGGACCCAGTTGTTAGCTGCTTATAACTTTGCTAACTAGCTGTCTGGGCTGAAGTTTTCCATGTCACATACTTCCCTTGGCTTAATTTTTGCTTAAGATTAGTTTTAGTCAAAATTGCTAGGTCAATTCTGAGGGCCAGACTAGCAAAATCCACCAATTCCCTACTGGTGGCAGCCTTTTCTCTGAGTAACTATATTGCGTCTACAATTCAGTATTACTGCACACCTCTTCAAGTGAGATCTCAGAGCTAGAAATTAAAAATGTTCAAGGCTCCTCCTTATCTGGAAGTAAACTGAGCTTCTCCAGTAACTGGTGGGACAAGCAGCTGAACTCAGAGCTAGGACCTGTCCTGCTTGCATCCTCACTGATAT